CACGAGGCGTCTCAAAAAAGACCGCGAGAACTGGTGGGCAACGATAGCTAGTGAAATGGAAGTAGCAGCTACATCAGGGAACAGTCGGAGACTGTTCCAAATGATACAGATACGCAACTCGGGAGGTCAGCGAACCACATTTAGTGAAACAATCTGCGACAAAAGTGGACAAGCTATTCACAATGGGGAACAACGGCTTGGCCGGTGGGCAGAGTACTTCACCGAATAGTTCAGCTGGCCAGGCACTAACCAGACTGTCTCATCTGGTGTAGCTGAGGCTCCGTGGACAGTCATGTGAACCCCTTTCTGAAGCAGATATACGGTCTAGCATCCAAGCTCTGAATAAAGGAAAGGCAGCAGGATCGGAAGGGCTTCCTCCATGGGGTTCGCCCAGTCTGGTGTTCATCACACGTGGGTGTGTAATAAAAGGAGACTGGCTGACATGGGTCTCGTTAGGCTCCCTGGCCGGGGACCCAGAGATCATGGTCACCGAACGTTAGCGACACTGAGCGATATGTTTGGGTGTGGAGCTCATGCATCTATTCATTATTTCTGTAACTTCAGTCCATGTTAATGCGCTATCTCCTGCTTGAATCTGCTGTTTTATTCAAATCGGCATCCAAAAGACAGCAATCAAAACCTGGCGCACGAAAGTGCTTGTTTAATGGTTGTAAGAACTGAACTGAACTATCAGATAGAGACAAAATGCAACCATTTGGAGTTATTTGAAGTTTTCAAAATGAAGTATGCAGTCACCCTATGGTAGTTTGAGAACATGCTCTCATTACTTTCTCAAGTGGCACGAGATGGACGCAGCGTAAGACTGGATCGTTCCAATTATGTTGTAGTCTGACAAGGTTGGAAAGCTGGAGTTTCTACAGACCGTTAGTCCTAAATTGAAACACACTATTCAAAATGGTCTTAGGAAACAAAGACATCGAAGGCCTTAGTTTCGTTTCGGATGCTTTCTGTTCTTTGGAGAAATGAACTGCTTAGAGATGGTGCAGCATTTGACATCTACAATGCTAGATGGAATAGGCATTGGAGTTACAACCATTGGATAACAGACCAAAGCCCTATGAGAACGGAGTCGTCTCAGGTATGATTCACTCAAAGTTATCAGGTTAATCAAGAGTGTACCTGGTATAAACATCGGAGATAAATGCGCTTTTATCTTCGATGAGCTATCTAAAAAACTGTGAATTTCACTTGTCCGCATGTGAAACATTTGCCCAGAAAATCCTTGCTGACCCCAACCATCCTTTACATGGCGATTTATCTGAATGCTGCTCTCATACGTCTACACGTTATTCTTATCGATTATTACCCTCTCGCATTAGTCTCTATAGAAATTCCCTAGTTCCCTATCTTGCCAGAATCCTTGTAAACCGAGAGCGCGCCTCCTCAGAACTTCTCAGTAACCTTAAAAGCTGAATATTTTACTTGTATTTTTCCTTCTATTGATGAGATGTGTAATTTTGGACTGAAATGCGAACATTCTGTTCTCGCAAAAGTCTACAGAAATAGAAATACAAGTACGGTAGTCATCATCATCATCGTACAGCGAGATACAGTGAAGCGAGCTTCACTGATCACTGCCAAGCTCACAATGTACACAAATCAAGTGATGACGCACAAGATGGAGAGGGATTGGGCCTACTTGGAGGGAGACAAAGAAAAAGAACCTCTATGGTCAACGCAGAGTACACAATCTAAGTGTTCACGCATACCTTTTTTCAAGCATTCTGCCTTGTTAAGAAATGACAACAGGAACGCCACTGCTGTCGGTTAGTTGCCATATCCTTCAATGTCTCCAACCAACAAGTTACAGAGTCTTTCGAACTCCAACCTGGAAGACGGGAGACACCGATTCTACCTAATCGCTCTGTGCATTTCTTCATGCCTCGCTTCCACGTCATCTGTTGACCACCACGCGGTTTCTTCCAACCTGGAGCCGCAACTGCGAATAAGGCGCGGTACGGCAGACAATGGCTGGACATGCGCAATACGTGTCCTAACCAGCGAAGCCGACTAATCTGAATTCGATGGGACAACGAATTCTCCATCGAATCATTACGAAATACTCGACGCCTCACCTCAGAGTTGCTTACAAGCTCGCTCCGTTCAACCCGCGCCAAACTACGTAAACATCTGCAGTTGAATACCTCAAGACGACGAATATCTTCCACGCGCAAATTTAGGGTCTCGCAACCATAGAGCAGAACTGACAGCACGCTGGCGTAGTATACGCGACCTTTCAGTTTCAACGAAACATCGCGTCTACACCAAAAGTGTTTCAGTCCTGCGTAAGCTGCTCGAGCCTTGGAAATGCGGGTGTTTACTTCATTGACTATGCCACCGTCATTTGAAACGCAGCTACCTAAGTAGGTGAAACATTCCACTACATCTAATTCTTGACCATCAAGCATCAGCGCTGGGGTAGACGACACCCAGTCATGTAGCATCACTTTGCACTTTGAAGGTGCAAAGCGCATGCCGAAAGGAGATACAGAACATGCTAATCTGTCAAGAGCGCATTGCGCATCCTCCATAGATTCGAACAGGCATACGATGTCATCGGCGTACTCTAAATCGCACAGCTTTTCTCCAGCTGTCCACTCATTATCTACGTTTTGGAGACCAGTAAGTGCGTTTTCCAGTACTTCGTCTATGATGAAATTGAACAGGAATGGCGAAATAGGGCACCCTTGACGGATACCGCTCTTGGTTTCGAACGATTTACTTACCCCACCGTAGACCCTTACGCTACCAGAAATATGCAGCTGCAACGACCGCAATAAGTTTACATACTTCTGCGGCATTCTTTTGCGGAGCAGCGACTCTAGAAGAACTTCACGATCAACTGAATCCAAGGCTCCTTTTAGGTCAGGGAACACTGCGATTGTTGGCCGACGATGTGTGTGACGCGGTTCTAGGACTTCGCGCAGAGTGAATATTTGGTTGATGCACCCGCGACCTAATCGGAATCCGGCTTGTTGTCTTCGAAAGTGGTATACTCCTAAGGCGCAGTATAGTGAAGCAAGATGGCATTGATATCAAACTCTTCGCCTTCAGCGCGAATTCGCTGTATTGGTTAATCATATCACTGTGAAGCATTTATAGTCTGTCGGAGACAGTTTGCTGCGTCAATAGATACTTTGTTAATGTTTGTCTGATACGTATTATTACACCATGCAATCTTCTCTGGAGTGTAAACGAATCACAGTACAATAAAAAAGAACAAAATGTACGATTTGCTTCTGGACGCGATACGGCTTGGTTTTAAAGGCTGGGGCAGGTGAATTGTTTTTAGAGTATTCGTGACCGGCGCCTCCGGCCAGCCCAAATCTGACCCGTAAGGCAGCGGGACGGCGTGTGATAACCGCAATCCATCTGGGACCGGTGTCTAGTTCACTGAACCATATTCCCTTTGAACGATGTCAAAGTCCAAGGTGCCTACTAAATCGGTGATCATTGCCGCAACCAGGAAGGTGTTGTTCCTACGTCTCTTCTTGTTTGGTTTTGGATCAACCAACTCCCCTTGGTGAATCGCCAGTTATTCACTGATCCGTTTATGGCGTCAGATGTCAGCTTTTCGTCCTCTCACTTTGGTAGTAAAACACCTCTGCCACTAAAAAGCAGTGAGTGGGGCTTCCTCAGCAAAAGCTGTTTGAGACACTTGGTCGTATAGAGCATTCCGAGAGGTGCAAGGGAAGGATGACTAGCCACAACCGAAGACACCCACCTCCGACTATGCTGCGGTTTTCAAAGGCTTCTCTGGAATAACTAATAACTCATACTGTTTATATCTCGGTTGACGGTCCACAAATGGAAACGTTGAGGAAACCGTTTTGCGCATACCATCGCCTGGGTATCAGTTTCAGTTTTACAACCATTAACCATGCACTTTCGTGCGCGGGTATAGCGGCAACATTTAGATAATGTGCTATCTGAGATAACTAAACGTAGTTTACCTCCACGTTCGTGATTAGGAGGAGACAATGTTATTGAATTCCTTCGTTTTTGAGCGCAGTTAGCAGGTTATCTGTCACGTTCATATCGAGGTCGCAAGACAAAACTTGTGTAAATCTAACTTTAAATTTCTCATGGTCTCTGAGATTTTACAACAAACAGCTATTCAAAAGTTGCATTGTTATTCAGCTTATAAAAACTTTTAGTTTACCATAATGTGGTGCATTATCTCAGAATTGAGTTTTCGCAACTGATTTTGTAGATGCGGCTGTAAAATATATTGTTCTGTATGATTATTTTCGCAGATTCTGCACTCTTCAATCGGTCTACCTTAGTCGTCTATCTGCATGGTTGTAGCAAAGAAATTCAAAATTTTTTAATCCCATGCGGAACAGAATTATCGTCCTTTGATGATCTGAACTGCAATTAAGTATGAAACTATTCTATTATTTCGGTTCCGTTGTCAATCATACGGGAGCATTTGTTGAGTGCATGTTTCATCCTTCTTTGTGATGAATCTTGTACAGGATCAGTAGAGCATCCAGTTTTCTGAAACAGTTTCGTAGTTTGTCGTTACAACCTCTACCAGGCATTTCAGTGAGGTGGTTTTGGGTGGTACCCAATGGAAAAATTAATGGAATATGTACAATGTTAACTTGTGGAATGAGTACTTCCAACCTCTTCTCAGCTGCTCAATGTCTAGTTTTACCTTGGTCTCTTTTCAATATTTCAATTCTCCCGTTACCTACATAACTACTGAAAGATAGCGACCAGAAACCAAATGCAAAAATGATAAATAACGTAAATTCTCGTCAATCACTTCTAAAAGAAATCGAAAGATACGTTTCTCAGTGGTCATGTAACAGTCTACTTTAGGCGTTTCTTATGAGGAAGTTTTCTCTTTGACTCAAAATTAATTAAATTCCCTCGATACTTTTCAGCATACTATGGATCTGGAAGTGGATAACGTGTTTACCGGGGCGTGTATTACAGTAATCGTTTGTGTGGTGTCTACCATTCTGTATTACATGTTCAAGCATGCTGTATTTACGCCTACTCGATCGGTCACTGCCCTACTGGAGTCAGATTCTACTAAAAAGAAAATGAAGAAACCTGACACCAAAAAGGCAAAGAAAATTAAAAAACAAAAACTCTCTAACGAACCTGTTGATCCGTTTGAACAAGACCCGGATAAAACTCAAACATCCGAAGAAATGGTGGATGATGAAGACAGTATTTCTGCTGAAGAAGTGGAGAAGAACGTCATTTCGCCCAACGTAACTGTAAGTAAAACGTCCGAGCAAGAAGCGGAGGGCGACCATTCGCGGACTGCATCTCACCCCCTGTCGAAAACAGAATATGAAGCAATTCAAGTGTGCAAGGATGTCGAGCTATCTGCTGAGCCTCCTATGTTTTCATCACAAAATAAGATGAATGTGGAGACAAACAACACATTGTTTTCAGAGTCCACCGTCATCAGTTCTTTAGAAGAGTCACCTCAGTTAGTTGTTGATTCTGTACAGAAAACTGCCTCCTCTTCGAAACGATCAAAAAAGCGTTCCGGAAAGCGCCCAGCTGAAATGCCTAAATTAGCGTCAACTCCGTCGGAATTGGTACAAACGGACCAAACGTTGGAAGTAGTGACTAGATTATCAACTGTTGATGACGTATTTAAAGGGGGCATGCTTACATTGTCGGATTCACTCTTGACCGAAGCACCAGAAGAAATCCGAAAACTGACAGACCAATTACGAGTAAGTCCGCACTTTGACCCCAAACTACAGCATACAGCCAGTCTGTCATATTTTCAAAAATACCAAAATACATCCCTACTTTTTACTAAGATGAATTAGACATCATTAAAACGGTCAGTACTTATGCTGGCATCTTTTTAATCCCTAATTCATAATATTCTACTGTTCTTCCAAAGATGATAAATTTCGTGTTGATTCACCGACTTCATAAGAAAGAATCGTTGGTTGCTATAATTGATGTTCTAACTCAGTTAACCAAATTCCTCGGACGTTTTTTCTCTTTATTACACATTTGTGTGGTGAGCAGCAGACGGGGCAAACCCCATAGTCACCAGGACCGGATGCTCCGTCATGGAAATCGGTACTCTAAGCCTCCGGGACGTTGAGTGGCGAACCACATAAGGCCCCGATTCGTTAGGCGTGATATTGAACCGGACGACAGCAGAGCTGCCTACCACCAAAGTCGGCTGGCGGTGGCGGGGCTTGAACCTCGGACCAAAGGGTCCGAAGCACGCTAGTGACAGCGACTAGACCATTGCGCCACCACCACCCTGAACTATCTGAACCATCACCCACCACCCCGACTGCGCAAGTTATGCCAGTCGATGCCAGTCCTCCATCTGAAATGGTTTCCCGGGAAATGAGCTATCTGAAAAAGCATAAGACCTCCGGCCCAGACGGGCTCTCCCCATCCGTTTTTAAGGATGTAGGTTTAGCATTGGTTTCACAGTTAACGAAACTCCTGGGCTCAATGTGGGAGAGGGAAAAAGTTCCAGCTGAATCGTGTGAATTGGTCATCTTACCGATTTACAAGATGACAGATCCTCTTATGTAAACCACAGAGGAATTAGTTTAATCAACATTGCTTCTAAGCTTCTCGCTGGTATCATACTCCGTCAATTGTCTGCCGCACGTGACGAGTGCACGCGTGAGAACCAGGCTGGTCTCAGATCTGATCGACGTTGTATCGTCCACATCACTCTTCGTCAAACTCTTCGTAGACCGACCATCTCTATTTTCCTGAATCCTAAAGCGGCTTTCGATTCAGTGGACCGCTCTAACGTCTGGCGCTGCCTTTCTCTGAAAGGTTTGTCCGAGAAGTTTATTTCATATTATGATCCCTCCATACCCATAGCCAAAACCCAATCCGATCTTACGGCACGTTTTCACCCGAATTCACCACAGAAAGTGGTGTTCGACAGGGCTGCCCTCTCTCCCCTTCTTTATTCAACTTTGTTGTAGATCTGATTATGGAAACAGCCTCATCCTCGTGCGAGGATAGTGGCATCAATTTACTCCCAGATGGCAGGCTGTCTGATTCAGAATATGCAGACGACATTGTGCTACTGAGTGAAGATCCAGGAAAGCTGAAAGCTTTTCTGGAAAGTTTGAGTGCTAGTGTAGCCATGTTCGGTATGCGTTTTGCGCCTTCAAAATGTAAAATGCTACTATAAGACTGGGCTGGCTCAGAACCCAGCCTCACTCTATCATCATCATTGTAGAGCGTAATACAGTGAAGCGAAGTTCACTGATCGCTGCCAAATTCATTGCATACAAGATAAGTGAGAATGTGTAAAGAGGACAGGGATTGGGCCTGTTTTTAGGGACGGGAAAAGAAAGCGAACCTATATGGTCAACACACAGAGTACACAGTCCAAACAGTGCATACATACTCTTTCAAGCATTCTAGTCTGATAAGAAGTGACAGCAAGATCATCATTGCCGTCGGTTAACAGCCATGACCTTCAGTGTCCCCAACCATGCGGTTACGGAGTTTTTTGTAATCCAACCCGGAAGACGAGAGACACCTACTCTGCCTAATCGCTCTGTATTTCTGCATGCCTCGTCACCACGTCATCTGCTGGTCTCAACATGGCTTTCTTCAGCCTGCAACAGCCACTGTGAATAAGGCGCGCTGCAGTAGGCCACAGTTGGACATACGCAAACCGTGTCCTAACCAACGGAGCCTACTGAGCTGAATTCGATGCGATCGCGAGTTTTTGTTTGATGCATTCCCGAACACCCGACGACTTACTTCTAAGTTACTAACCCGCTCACTCCATCCC